TCATAGACGCTGCACTGGTGTGGAGCCGCTACAGACGGGTGTGGGGCTTTAGAGCTGCTGTCGCGAACCCTTTACAAGCCGGCAGGCAGGCAACACTCAGTGACCGGCAAGGGGCCCTTAGGCCGGCAGAAGTCTTGTGTGGTCCTTAGAGACCGGCATGGTACTGTTAGACACCGGTGGGGCCCTCAGGGCTCAGAGTCACCGGTGTCGGGCCCTTAAAAGTCACCAGCGGGTGGCCTTTAGATGCGCAGGTGTTCTGTTGGGTCCTCAGAGCCGCCGATATAGGGCTTTAATAGGCACTGGTATAGGCACTCAGAGTTGGGGGTGTGAAACGCTCAGAGACACCGGTGTGGTCTGGGCCCTCATAGGCGCCGATGTTGTCGGCGCTATGAGTCGACATATGTTGTCGATAGTTGCCGTTATGGGCCCTCAGAAAAATAAGTGTGTGACCATCACAGGCGGGAAATGCCCCTAGAACTGGCCCCTCATAGGCCGGTAAGAACTCACAGAGGCCAGTAACGGGCCTTTGGAGACCACCGAGGGGCCCTCGGTGCAATCTGCAAGATTCCCTCAGAAGCCGGCGTGGGGCCGTTATGGAGATCTTAGTGTGGTTGTTTAGGGCCCATGAGGTGCTCTAACTAGACCTATCTGGCCCTTCTGAGTCGAAATATGGCCATCGTTAACCCGCGCCCCGTAGGGGGGGGGGCCGAAACGGCCCCCCCCTGTCCTTTTCGGTCGATATCTCCTAAACGGCTGGAGATATCGCCACCAAACTTTCAGGACCCCTCCGGGCATCAATTTTACACATTGTGACCAAAAATTTTTCCAGAGGCTGTGATAGGTTGGCCACAAATGACGTCAGAGTGACGTCATGTTCTGTCATTTTCGACCGAAAAAAGACCTTCGCGAGAAGACCTGTCAGGCCTACAGCTTTGAAGATACAGAAAAATGATCAAGACATAAAAGGTGTAGAATTGACAGGGCTACAAAACTGCTATCTCGGATTTTTGAAATTTTTGAGTTTTGATCCCCAAAAATCAAAAAAGCATTTTTTTGGATATATTAGCCAAAAAATCCAAAAAGTTTTTTGAGTTTCGAAAAAACCGGAATATATGTGATAGTACCTACCGTCTTCTATCTACATACCAAATTTCAGATCGATACCTCGTTTTTTGGCCAAGTTATAGCGAAAAAACTGTTCAAAAATGATGACGTCAAATTTTCAAACTCAATTTTTGGCAATTCTAGAACTCGTAGAGCAAAACAAAGACCACCATTAGACTCCCCGTGACGAGCTGCATCGAATGGATACCCATTTTATGCAAAAATATCAACTTTGAAATTTGACCTAATTTGACCTGACCTTGACCTGACCTTCACCAAAACGTGACCTAGGCTGGCCCCAAAGGCTGCCTAACCCACATAATCGCATTTGTCATGTAAAATGGACCATAAAACATGTATCACACGACACATTCATATTGTGACCCCGGTGACCTGACCTCGCTGTGACCTGACCTGGTATCAGTGACCTCAGATAGTAAAGTATGTGTTTGACGAACAATATACCATCGATGGTTTTCAATAAATTACCAATTTACTCGATTTCACAGCACATTTCTTGAATTGCCTGTGAACGGTGAAAATCTGACCTTTGACCTAACCTGTGACGTCATCGGTTTGACCTAGGTCAATGAAATTTGGTCATAAGGTAGTTCCCGGGTAGGGCTATCAAACGCCGTTTGAATTTTGAAAATCGGCCGGTAACTTTCCGAGATCTTAGGGGGGGGGCCGAAACGGCCCCCCCCCCTACGGGTGGTAGGGTCCGCCGGTAGCCCTACGGGGCGCGGGTTAACCCTCAGCGGTTAAATGGCGCCGCAGGGCCTCTCGGACCCGAGGGTCCCTTTGAATCCGATGGGTGAGGGGGGTACGTGTCCCCTTAGACCCCTAACTACGCCACTGCTTCATATGCATCATGTCAGGTATTTTAGGCTCGCCCCCCCCCCCCCCCCAACTTGAAAATCGTTCCCGGGCCCCTGATAAAACATGTGTCGCACATGCCCTTTTCTATGTTTTGTTTTTGATGACCTGACCTGACCTGACCTTGACCTTGACCTTTGAATGACATTGTATGCAACGAATATTGTCTTGGTAGTCTAAGAACACGTTTTGGGCAATCAGTCTCAGTCCATTCTTCGGCAACTACGGTGCAAGGCCGATACTGTAGAAACTTGCATTTTGTACCCTTGACCTGACCTTGACCTGACCTCTGACCTACTTAAGCAAAAAAATGGGCTCTTAAGATCCGCCTTGTTGAGAGCTTTCGATTGCCGTTTTCCCCGTCTTTCTACGACCATCGGTTCGGAAGTTAGACAGGGGGGGCAGAATCTGCCCCCCCCCCCCCAGCAGGGCGCGTATGGCTGAATAGCCCAGCGGGGCGCGGGTTAAGCCGATGTGAAATGAAGCAAACTCCTCAACTTTAAAACGCCGCCTGCTATACATATTTCGCAATGAATATTTTTTACGAGAGGCGTTAAAAGGAATCATTTGACTATCAACATATGCATGTAAGAGAAAATTCAAAAGCATGAAGGAGTCAGGTCACCTATTGAGAGGGTGCAAATCGATTTTTATCGGAAGGAGTGAGTCTTCCCAAAGTATATATGCAAGGTTGCATCTGTCTGCACATGCGAACGTGCGCATTCTGCGGCGTCGGCACACCTTTGTTTTTTACAACTGGCGGCAATGTTTGTACTTTGAATGTTTGAATGAATAAACGACAGCACTGGCGAATCCGCCTCTGGGGGGGGGGGGGGGGGGGCATTGGGAAAAGTTTTTTAACTACACAGCAGTGCGTACTGCGTAAGGAATCGAAATCCGAGAAGCTTTGAAATTGGAAGAAACTTGTAGGGGTATGCCCCTTCGCCCAGTGCCCAAGACCGCCTTTCCGGATCCGCCAGTGTACGACGGCAGACGAATGCACGTCATATTTGAGGCATGGGTGCATACTGCATAATGACTCCGCTGCTGATACCCCTTAAACCCCGACACACCACAACAAATTATTTTGGGCGTCCAATTTCATGGATTGCCGTGCTTCAACGAAAGGCTCCGTTGATATCCTCTTCCAGAGAAGATACATAGACCATCTTTTGGTGATCGATTAGCCCCCAACCACTGAAGTTCTTGACTTGTCGAAATGGTCATGTTTGTTGATGCTTGAATGGGAAATATAAAACTGGAGTTGACAACAAATCATGCCCCTAAATAAGCCCCTTTCTTTCCATTGATTTCGCTTTGATTTCGCTGGCCGGTGGCTTGCATCATGCTCGGTTATTTTTAGCTTGTGTGACAAGTTTTTCTGTCCCTTCGTTGATTGGAAGCGGGGTTACAAAGGCGATTCTAAGGTGACACCAAAGACAAGTGACCAACCGATTCCCCGGCTGACCCTTTATGTCGGGCTAATTAAATTTTGTGTTGACTGTTCTGTTTTTCCCTCTGTCAAACGGAAATAATGGCGCGCATGAGATTACATAGATCATCCCTTCCGTCAAGTCATGTGGAAGAATTGGGAACCACACTTCATGTGCCGGCGTTCTCTGATGCTGTTTTCTGGTGGACGTATCGGTCGTTCATGGTATTCGGTGTCGTACTAGTCTTAACTAGGTATTTATTTCGTTGGCATCAAGACGTTATTTACTTCAGCTGACAGATGTGACGCTGGCAGACGAGCTGTTGAACAGTTGACATGTGTCGATTGGCTGGCGCAGTAAGATCTCTATGCCTGATATTCTAAGTTCTAACCGACTACAAGTGGCAGTTCACATAATAGAGATTATATATATATATATATATATATATATATATATATATATATATATATATATATATATATATATATATATATATATATATATATATATATATATATATATATATATTAGATCTATATAGTTCACGTGACGGTTGCGATACCACTATGGACTGGACAGTCACAGACCCAGATTATCAGCCTTCAGTCATTTTCCGGGTAATTCTCTCAGCCATTATAGTTAGTAGGCACTGGATGTTCCGGTTGTATGGGACATTGTAACGCCATCTCGCATGGTGACGAGACGTTTGTCCCTGAGACTACGGCTAGGCTTTGGCAAACAATATGGAAGGCTCTGACCACTGATCAAAAGAAAGAACCGTAGCGTGGTCAAGTCTCTTATTTTTGGTAGAGCTAGGTATCATGTCTCGGATTTTTTTTTCCGAACCCGTTTTTCGCTTTTCTCGTTTTTGTTTTCGTTCGCTTGTAAGTATTTCACGAGCCTCTGCCACACAGAGTGCTTGATACCAAATTGCGCTTGATCGCAAAATGCGCCCACAGCCGGTCCCATAGCTCAGTCGGTAGAGCGTTGGACTCTGCGTGGTGAGAGCAAGCGTTTCCGGTCACAACAGTCCGGGTTCGAAGCGCGACAGGCGCTTGACGTTTATGGGCCTCCTGACATACAGGTTTGGTTGCGGTTGGTGGCAGGCCGTAGCCAGGCGAAGTCGGTGAGGGGAGGGGACCGGCTGTGCGCGGCTATGTGCGCACGTTAAACTTTGGACTCTAAATTCTGCCATAGTATCAGAATATCGCGATCGGAGGGTAGAGGGCAGGGCCAACGCAAGAAGTTTCGCTTAGCGGGGGCTCTGTCCTTATGAATCCTCCCAATCAAAATGTTCGGACTAAATTTATAGAAAAAAAATGTCTGCGAGAATGTGTTTTTATATGCCCATAGAACTATAAACCGACTTTATTTTAACAGAACGCTGATTTTACACGAACGAAGCGGTATTGAAACAAAGTACCAGGAAAGGCGTTAATTTCATCTCAAAGGATGAAATTTCTCGCAGCGTATAGCTTTTTCATGCCCATTTTCACGTCTTGCGTTTGAGTAATGATTTGCTTACCAGCTTGTCTAGTTTTTTTTTTTTTTTTTTTGCATACCTTTGGAAGTGAAGGGAAGACTTAATAGAAAATTTGATTTTTATTTAACAAGCATTATTTCACGCAATTACCCGTGTACTATGAACAATAAACAATACAACATTTTACAAGCATTGCATCACGCACAATAACAGTTACATCTCATAACATTGAATACATGATCAACACTGCAAACGCGATGGAGCAAATTATTTCAACATTTTTAAAATGCTGCTGCTCTGAGGCCCAAGTGTAGGTGCTCGATGGATGTATGGTGATTGCGCCAGGCATTACAAAGTGGGTGATCAGGTCACGCGGCGCTGGGCGGCTGTGTCCTCGGCCGGTGCCCCCAGCCGCCGCCGTGCGGTCGGCCGACCTCGGGTGTACCGCCGGCGGTGTCTCTGGCACCGGCCGGCCGTGAGCTGAGACGCCGGCCGGCCCGGCCCGTCGCGTCTCCCTCTGACGGCGATGTGGAGCCGACACAGCGGGCTGAACTGCTCAGGAAGGTCCCGATGAGCCGTAACTGGCCCGGTGTGTTCCGCCGCTCGGAGAGGTTTCTCAGTTGGACGGTCCGTCGGTCGGCGGGTCCGCTAGAGGGCGACGGCGGTGAGGAAGGCCATGACGGCGGCGCTGGCGGCGGCCGAGACGGGCACGGTGACCAGCCAGGCGGTGGCGATGCCGCCGAACAGGCGCCAGCTGACGCCACCGCCGCCGGAGCGCGCCCAGCCCACGGTGACCACACTGCCCACCTTGCAGTGGGTGGTGGACACCGGCAGCCCGATCTTGGAGGCGAGCAGCACGGTGCTGGCGGCGCCCAGCTCGATGGTGAAGCCGGTGGCGGGCGTCAGACGCGTCAGGTCCTCTCCGATGGTGCGCATGACGCGCCTGCCGAGCGCCCACAGGCCGACCGTGATGCCCAGGCCGCCGTAGGCCAGCACGTAGATGGGCGTCTCGGACTCCTGCGCCACAGAGCCCTCGGTGTAGATGAGCCAGACGGCCACCAGCGGGCCGACCGCGTTGCTGACGTCGTTGCCGCCGTGCGCGAAGCTGCCGAAGCAGGCGGTGAGGATCTGCAGCGGCGAAAAGAGCTGCGCCTCCCCGGCCACGTCCTCCAGCGGCTCGGCCGGCTTGGTGGGCTCGCCGCTGGCCAGACTGACTTGCGAGTTGGCGGTGACCGAGTCGGTGTCTGTCGAATGTTTGTCGTCGGACGGCGCGGCGTCCTCGGTGGATTTGACCTCGGTGGCGGTAGCGACAGCCGCGGTGGTGGTGCCGTAGTCGACGCTCCTGCCGGCGCGCTCGATCGTGAAGACGGGGTTGATCTTGCCGTCGTCCGAGTTGACTGACCCGCGGCCGAGCTCGACGCTGGCGATGGTGGCGGCTCCGACGGCAGGGGTGGTGGTGGTGGTGGTGTCGCTCTGTTTGGTGCGGATGCGCGGCACCAGCCACAGCTGGACGGCGGCAGCTGTCAGCAGGCCGGCGCCAAACGCCGTCACCAGCGCGCCCCACAGCGGGATCCGGTCGAAGCGCAGCAGCGGAGAGCCGTCGTGCACGATGCTGAACACGTTGATGAAGACTGTGACGGCGAACAGGATGGGCAGCAGGAGGAGGCCGTTGCGCAGCGGCCGCTCGGCGCGGATTACCACCTTGCGCAGCAGGACGAACAGCACCACCGAGATGGTGCCGGAGAGGATTGGCGAGATGAACCACGAGGCGATGATCTTGACCAGCTCCATCCAGTGGACGCCGTCGACGCCGCGCGCCACCAGCGCGTACCCGATGGTCGCGCCGACCACCGTGTGCGTGCCCGAGATGGGCATGGCCAGTGCTGTGGCGATCAGGTTCCAGAGCGCCGAGCCGACCAGCGCTGACAGCGAGCCCAACATGAGCTCCTTCTCGTCGTTAGCGAACAGGTCCGTGTCCACGATACCCTTTCGTATGGTCTCGGAGACGCTGTAGCCGAGCAGTATGGATCCGGCCACCTCGAAGATGGAGGCCAGGATGCAGGCCTGGCGCAGCGTGAGCACCCGTGAGCCCACAGACGTGCCGAAACTGTTAGCGACGTCGTTGGCGCCCACGCCGAACGCGAGGACGAAGGCAACGATGAAGGAAACGATGACGATCCAGAGCACGGTGCTCGAGTAGGGCTCCATGTTGGACCGGTTGATGGACAGACAGACGGACGAACAGACAAGCCGGACGGACGGACGGACTGACGGACTGGCCGCGCGGGCGGCGGACGGAGGACTGGTGCCGGCGCGGCGGTGTGACGGAGCTGCGGCGGACTGGGGCGGGGCTGTCTGAGCCGCCCGGTGGCTGGGACGGTCGATCGGGGTGCGCGGCGCTGCTGTGTGTGTGCCGAGCTGACAGGTGATCCGCTGTGGGGCCGCCGGCCGCCGCACCTGTTTTCTACTCGGGCCCCCGTCCGCGCGGCGCCCTCCGACCAATCAGCGTGCAGCCGCGCCGCCCCAGTCGGCCGCTGAACCAATGGCGGACCGCACACGCCTCCGTTATCAGCGGTCTAAGGGTCTTCACGGAGCTACCTCGTGGGGACCCGGCGACTTTTGTGCTTTTGCCACCTCACCGCGAACCGAAACCACATGGTATTCGCAGGGCTGTGACGCAAATAGCGATAGGACGAGACGAGGCCTTCGTAGGTCGGTTGCCAGTTCCACTAAGGCCCGGCGTCTGCCCTATCGCCTTGTCTGAAGGTCGCGTTTTCGGGCGGCCTTTGGGCACATTTATGGGATATGGATATGGGATTTTGTCGGTGGTCACATTTTGTAGTTGTTTTACAATTCTTGAAATCCTTGAGAGCTTTGATCTGCCTAGAAGCGCATATGAAGTGTGAAAGGTTGTGAAAACATCAAATTTAATTTGGTTGCAAGTTATACCTCACTTGACCCGATTATTGTTCTTTTATTTTCGTTTGGCACACTTTATCTCTACAAACTCATTTACGTGACCAGTCCACTGCGGCCCCGCCCCCGTAACCGTGCGCGCAGCGGGCGCGCCGCACAGGCTGCGTTGTGAACGTCCTGTCCCGTGTTTCCTGGGACCATTTGAACTAGCACGCCGGTGCGTCGCTTTTATTTGGTTTGCGTCTGTGCAAGTGGTCGTCGACTGATATGCCGCTTTAGCAGCTGCGCACTGCAAACAGGTGTCATTGTGTGTGCGGGTGAGCGGATGACCTAACGATCGATAACACAGTGTGCGTTTGAAATGTTGGCAATGTGTTAAATAGATATAGCTGAGCAAACGAGATTCACGTCACACCTATCTGAACTGACGACAGTGGGCAGTTTCCGACTTTTTTCTGGGAACCGTCTCTTGTCTTGCAACAGGCCACACTCAAATGGCGTCAATTAGCAGGCTCTCGTCGGTTTTCCCGTCCTTTTGCTATAAGTGAGACCGCCAGCGCTCCGTGGCTTCTGTGCCGCCGTGGTACAGCCGGGGTCACCTACCTATAATAGGTCAGTGATCCGTTTCACAGTCGTCGACTGACGGAGCGCTGCGCTGCGTCTGCTTCACTCCGGAGACGTGCCATAAACCAATCCAGACAGTGCAGTGGAATGATCACTTTGTGAAGGGATCACGTTGTAAGGGTCGATTGTGTTGTGAAATATGTGTAAAACTTGGACGACTTTCACGAATACCCTTTGTTCTGGGGACGGCGGAATGCGATTTGCAGTGAATCGTTAATTTATGGTGGTTCATAGATTCGCTACATGAAAGGGAGTAGATTATCAATTTCTCTGAACTGATTCAGCCTTCATCACATGTTTCAACTTTCCGGTTGGTTATGAATGAAAGCTTATTTGTCGCTTTTACACAGAGGTGTAATAAGCTACTCGCACACGCCAGACATGTGTATCGTGCAATGCACGGGTCTGATAAAAAGGACCTGGGATTTGGTTCCATGGATCTTGATTTGGGATCGTATGGGATGTGGGGATCAATTGTGTCGAGGAATCCAATAGGATCAAGATCTGAACTTTTGTTGAAGAGAGATTCATAGATCTAGGCTTATTTTAGAAGGAAATGTAGCTTTTGTTAGGGCCTTGGCTTTTGTCTTAGAGGATTTTGTATTGAGCACTTCGGATTTAAATTCAGAGATTCAAGTTGATCACAGTTCATTATTGATCGATTTGTGACACAAATTGGCATGGGAGCACTTGGGATCATGGTTTTACATTACAGGTTGTATATTATTAGATCCACATAAATTATACGAGATCACAGATCGCACATGTTCTTTTATCATAAGATCGAGCAGCATCATAGGTATGTATATAGAAACAGGGAGTTTGCCGGAAGTTTGCTTTAAATACACGAGGATCACGGATTTAACATTGGTGTAAGAAGAGAAATAGCGTAACACTGTTTCGTCTCCATTCTTTGGTGCTGCCAGGAATCGTAACATTAGTAGCGGCATACGTTCGTGGTGCCTCAACAAAACCATTTACACTTATCTTTTCCGAAGTTCGTGAATCGTGGGATCGTAGGAATAGGAAACAGGTTAAACATGTTAAATCTTAATCGGTGTTTCAGTTTGAACAGTGAGTGTTCAGGATGTCCCTGTCGAGCTAGCAATGTTGTGATTATCCTCAGTGTCTTTTTTCACCTTACTTACCACATCCCACCATTGACCCCGAGTCTTCCTCTGTATTGTGCGTCACTAGCACCTGATTTCACGGATATTTTTTAATCGCATTTGTTCTGTTTGCCTACCTGTGTGATTGTGTGAAGTGGATCTAATGGCGAGGGAAAAAGTGGGTAGTAAAATCATTGATGAAAAAGTCAATCTATCGTCACTAAACCCCTGAAACGTACATTGTCATTATTAGTCGGCTTACATAGATATACCTATCTGTCGGCGTGGCAACAACCCCCACATACTCTTCCTGTTAATCTCAGTCACACGTCTGTGTCATTCCCACGGAGAGCCGTCAGGGATCATACCGTGCCAGTGGGCATGGGATGGGCATGACTGGCGCAAACTTACGCGAGTGGCTCCGAGCTTGCGAAATTTTACGGCGAAGCATTTTGCGTTCCAGAAATTCAACGTCGCGACATTTTACGTTGCAGCGCTGATGCGTGCGTCTACGCGCTGCGCAGTTCTGTGATATGCATTTGTTTTCCTATATGACTAGCATAGCTGCATGCCATGATTGAAATCATTCATAGCTCGTCACCGCTTATGGTGGTCTGCTGTAAGTTTTATCGCGAATTCCGGCGTACACATGCAGTAGATGTCGGTGTTGCGGCATATGCGCCTGCTGCGCACCAGACTCCAACCATCCGTGGTATTCCACGCAAGGTCACCCTCGTTATTTTCTAACTAAGCCGGGCGATTGGGCACGACTGCGCCGAGGTCGGCAGTGCTGTTGGTATAAGCGTGAATGCTGGCGTTGTGCTGTCAACTTTCCTGCGGCTGGGCTGGCCTGCGGCTCTGGCGCTTAGCGGTCATACATAGGACCTGCTGTGGGCTGCGGTTTGAACTGGACGGGAATTGTGAATGACAGTAGCACGGCCACGGAATTTGATATGAGGCGATCTCATATCTCTCCTCTTATGATCAATTCATGGCGCCAGGCGCTGTGTTAATTTTAACAAAACACAGTGACCCACGCGTAGTTTTAATACATTCGCGGTAGCTTCGGAGGTGTGGATGTTGGCACTCATCCTGGCTAGCTTATCGTGCTACCTATTGTTGATCTGCATTGACTGCTACTTTTGTGTCGAGCTTGATGCTGCGCGGGTCTCCATTAAACTGCTAGGTATATTTATCATTGCTCCCGTCAAATGGATGTCCAAAATAATTGTCATTGTCCCAACGCAAACCAGCGAGCCGGAACTGGTGCCTGGCTGGTCTGCCAACCTCGAGTGACTATGATGAATGGTTACATTGATGTATCAATGATCATTGATTATGTATCGACTGACAGGTACCCTTAATAGCAACTTTATATTGCTAGCGCTACAAGCACGGATATTCTTTTGATTTTTTTTCGTTTTTGCTTAGTTAGCAAGCGTCTCTGCTGAGTCGGCCTTTTTTAGACATTCGGTCACCCCAGAGCTCACTCTGCTTACTGTGTGCCATGGGGCGCCGATGGAGCTGCTTAGGCTTTAGTTACCGCTACACATGTGTCTGGCAGCTGTGGCGCCGGTACACCTGTCTCTGTCTGTGACAGGATCTGCCCCCTTACCAATGCTTCCCAGTTCCCTGTGAGACAGCTGCGGAACAATTAAGTACCTACCTACAGCTACAGCTGTTACAGCTGTAGCTGTAGGTAGGTACAAAAAAAGTTTAAAAAAGTGTAGGTTAGTTTAAAAAAAGCTAGGTACCTATTGATGGATACTTTTCCGTTCACTATACCGCGATGTTAAAATGTTGTCCTCTGAGCGCGTGCCTCCCTCGATTCCGGTTTGGCCACCCCTACACTGACCTCGACAGGGACCGCCCGGTGGACTCCCAGCACCCCGAGCCGTAGCGTGACTCCAATTTTATGGCCCCAGGGTGGCTGGCGACGCTGACGTAACCCGTCCCAGCGAGTCGGGTCTGACCTGGGACACGTGGCGCTACGTTCCGTTTATTGTTTTGATACAAGACCCTCAACCCCTAGACTTCCTGGAATGGTTTCAATCTCAACACCTAACCTCAGGTGCTGTCCAATCGTTCTGACTCGAGTGTGCCTGCTCTGACCGTCTGATCTCTGCCCCCAGGTCTCGGGGAGGTCTGCTGTGACGGCCGACTGGTGCGGCGGCGCGGCGTCCCCGCACCCCCGACCCAACAGCCATGATCGGTGGTCTGTTCATCTACAACCACAAGGGCGAGGTGCTCATCTCGCGCGTCTACCGCGACGACATAGGCCGAAATGCCGTCGACGCGTTCCGCGTCAACGTCATCCACGCACGACAACAGGTGAGGCCGAGGCGGCCGAGCGGACGGGGTCAGGCCGGGTCATGTCTGGTAGGCAGGATCGTGATGGCACCAATTTGCTTCGCCATGGGTCGAGTACTGATGTCATTGGTTTCGATCCCGGTGACCTTAGTACTGTCTACATCCGGGAACGTCTTGCACTTGTCTCCTTAGAGGCGGCCATATTGTTTTGTCCAGTGACGACACAATTGCATCATTGGGTTCGAAACTGGCTGTAAACAAATCGCTTAGTGTCGCTACCTCCAATATATGGCCTTGGGCAGGATCCGGTCAAACTGCTTGGGTTGGGTCAGACAGGGATAAGATTACTGAGACTCTCATCTGCTATGTTTGGGTCAGGCAAGGTCCTGATCAGATCGAGGTCGTTTAGACAGGACTCTGTGCTGAGACCGGGTCAGTTAGGGGTCAGATGTGGTGTTCCGCTGATGTAATTAGAGAGCGCTGCCTCTGACTCAGTCGCTGAGTCCAACAGTCCGCCTGTCAGGCCGTCCGTCGGCGGTCCGCCGGACAGCCGGGTCAGCCGGCACGCCAGCAGTGTGCCCGGTCAGAGGGTCCTCCCCCCCCCCCCCCCAGGCGCGCTCGGTACCACATGAGCAGTGCCGGCGATAGGGACAGTTGGACTGCACTAGCCCGTGGCGTGGAGCTCTGGAACTCAGTTGGGTGGCGGAGAATGAGAACTGTCGGATCCCGGCCCAATTATGACACTGGGTCGGCGGTCCGCCCACGCGTCCCGCCGCACAGTATCGACGAGTAGCTAAGATGTCTGGGGGCGTACAGCTAACACTATCATGATTTACAGTGGAGCGCCCGGAATTTAGGGTGGAATAGCAGGTATATGCCCAAAGCTCACAGCGCTAGTAATGGGAACGAGATTGTGCTAGAAAGGAAATGATTGTTACATAATGTTTGACCGCTGAAATATTACAAATCGCGGACAGGCCCCGCTGCCCACTGTCTTGGTGTACTTCAATTATTATTCAGTTATCCTAAACAAATAATATACTAACTTGCTTAAATTTGAATACACAATTATTTTATTACCATTTTAATATTTCACTACCTTCTCACCCTTTTGTGAGATGACAAGGTGCATGGCAATGCTACACATTGATTACGCTTTTACAGTACTTCGCTGTTGCCATGCTGACACAGCAGTATCTAATCTCCTTCCTTATTGACACAGTTCAAATATAGGCGTCATGCGTATCCTTACGTCAGGACGTGAGCTTACCCAGAGATATCATTTTGTCCACATATTGGCACACCGGCGCGGTCCCCTGAGCTCTGCTGTCGCCGCTGCCTGCCCTCTCCGCCCGCGACTGGCGAGCGTTCAGAGGAGACTGTCCACTGTCCAGCCTGTCGGCAGGGCCTGTGGCGCCCTCTGTGGCCGCCACAACCCTTGTTCCGCGCTGCAGCTCGCGCACGCTGAGTGTTTGTTCAAAATGATAACGCACCGCTAAGTGTCATCTCCGGAAGTGCGGCTTTCCCCTAATCTGCTCTGATCTCTGATCAGCTCTGTATCTGACGCTCTTTACACACCACTATAGCCCTGTATCTATTTGTGCGTTGGAGAGGCCGTGTCCCTGCAGGTGTATCCCCTCGAGGAAGCACCTGTGGCCCCTGCTGACCCCCTGACCCCTTCTTTGACCGTCAGGTGCGCTCGCCCGTCACCAATATCGCCCGCACCTCCTTCTTCCACATCAAGCGGGCCAACATCTGGCTGGCAGCAGTCACCAAACAGAATGTCAACGCCGCCATGGTGTTTGAGTTTCTGCTCAAGATGATCGAGGTCATGCAGTCCTACTTCGGCAAGGTAGACTGTCCCGAGCTCAGGCCGTGTGGGAGCGGCGGCTGTCTATCCGGATAATTCCGGTTCACTGGGTGCGGTGGACGGAGACTGATAGTGGCAGAGCTGGTGGCCGTCGGTCGCGCTTCGCCGATGCATGTGATCACCACGTGCTGGGGCCCTGTTCAGATACACGGCTGGTCGTGGCAGCGGCTGATAGACGCGTGGTCCGCGGCTTAGCTGCGCTTATATTTGTAATGGTGGGATTATTGAGGTTCGTTTCTGCTTCACGCCTGCTTCATGTAGAATCATGCGGACCGGATGCTCTTCGTCGAAGGGCGTCGGCTCCCTGGGCCCTCTGGTTCTCGAAGGACGCGCCCTGGTACCTCAGTAAGGATATCCTTACTTGCTGGACCGTCCGTATGCCTGCGCCTCTCCCCGTGTGCCGATGCTGACCGGTTAGTTCCCGCCGCCGCCACCAGGTGTCCGAGGAGAACATCAAGAACAACTTCGTGCTCATCTACGAGCTTCTGGACGAGATCCTCGACTACGGCTACCCGCAGAACACGGACACGGGTATCCTGAAGACGTTCATCACTCAGACGGGCGTCAAGTCGGCCAGCAAGGAGGAGCAGGCCATGATCACCTCGCAGGTCAGATACTGGTTCGGAGTACTTATGAGGTTAGACAGGAACGGACTACCTTACAGGTCACCTGTGAGGCGGGCTAGGATATGGGTGTCGATTTCTGCCCAGCTGCGAGTGCCCTAGCTCACCCAATTCCACTCCGACTTGGCTCTTGGAGCTGTAACAGACGGCGCGGGTCAAAGTCACCGCTAGGGTCGCGGCGAATTTGTGGAGCTCGTGCACCCGCAACTCAGCTAAATTGACACCCATAGCTAGCATTACCTTACAGGTCGGACTGGGACAGTTTGGGACTACAATACACGCCGGACCAGGACCGGTCAGGATTGCCGACCCCGGACTGGGACGGGTCAGGACTACATTACAGGTCGGAATGGAGACGGTTAGGAGCTAAGGCCACAACATACGTCAGACTGCAGTTTTTGGACGAGATCACGTCAGCCTAGATTGAGTCATACGGGTCGAATTGCAGGCTACAGAGTCACGAGTGAGCCCGCATAGGTGAAGTGCAGTTGTTTGCCCAATGTCTCTGGCGCCTGGAAACCCCGCAAAGCGCCAACTAACGCGTAGACATCGTCAATCGACTCATGACATTGCCGAAGCACTCATTGCATGCTATGCCACGGTCACATCGTAGTTTCACTTCTCGAGCAACAGGCTATTAGCTGATGCAATTTGTGAGATAGGCCGGAGGTAACGTCGTCACAGGCTATCAGCGGCGACATGCAGACCTGCACATGATTGATGGGTGCTATCTAACGGGGTCATTTCAGAGTGTTCCATCGATTATGTAGCTGTTTTACTGGATTTAAACAAATTTATCAACTTACGATGCTCAACGGGGCTCTTTGTTCCAGAATCGAATAACTCGAAATTTCGTACATATTTTATTGGATCCATTCACGGACTGATGGTATCACCATGACTGTGTACTGTGTAGTTACCATTACCATGTAAGATAGGTTAGCAACAAATTTATAAAAGTAGAGCTTCATTTCAAGTCACACATCGGGGCAGTCTGATGTGTAGGTAGATGGTACGAGAATGAGTTCACCAAATGCGCCATCAGGTAGCTTTGGTTCAGCTCTTGCGATTGCAGTTTCTCGTAAACTTGAAAAGTATTTATCATAAGTATTTACCGTAAGTGAAGGTCATTAGGCACCCTTTCGAGTAATCAGACCGTTTACTCAAAAGATGCCTCTTCTTCCAATGGAGATGAGTTAGCTGCCGTGCTCGGTGAGGCCATACAATGACGGCCAATGATTATCATTAGTATGAGAACTTGTAGTTGAACTCGTCAGGGTGGTCCTTCCATTCATTCCCCAATATGTACATACGTGAACACATCAACATTTGGTGCCGATGGTCATCGATGCAGTAAATTTCATGGTTATAATCATGAAATTTGCTGCAGATATATCTTCAAGCGATTAAATCGGTGCCAAGGGGCTTATCGAGTCTTGTTTCAAGGCGTTTCGTGACAAAGGTGTAGTGAAAGCCTTGAGTGTATACTGTAAATACCCCATGCTCAAATAGCGTGATTCAAGAGTTAATTCGCTTACGGTATGTAATCCTTGCATGATTTGTTTGCTATTTTTAGGGTCACCCATTGTATTGCTTACAAAGTGCACAAACTTGCAGGAGTCGTAAACAATATTAACCAGTTGCTTTGAGTACACCAATCGTACACCAAATCTCTATTGACATGTCTTTGGGTACGATCTTGTGCACACATACAATGGCCTCAAGTCACTGGGTATGGATTACGATTGTAACCGATTGGATTACAAGTCAAATCCTCGACTATGTTCTTGATATCGCCTTTCGATGGCATCCTGATAGTGATAACAAGCAGAGATCAGGCGCTAGTATCGTGTTGTGTGGCATTTTCCGGTTTTGCTGTCGACCTCTGCTGGCATCACGTGATCCCACCATGTAGCTCGACCCGTCCATCACGTGGTGCTGCCACGTGACTGACCTGTGCGTTACGTGACCCTGCTCGCCAGGTGACTGGCCAGATCGGATGGCGCCGCGAGGGCATCAAGTACCGACGCAACGAGCTGTTCTTGGACGTGCTGGAGTATGTCAACCTGCTGATGTCGCCTCAGGGTGAGGACATGATGACCGGCCACCGCCGGATGCCTGAGCGGCCCAGGTCCGGCGGGTCCTCACGGAACAGGCCGGAAGGGATCATGTTTGGCTAGACCAGATCAGAAAGATTAGATTACGTGTAGACTGGATACAAAAGCTAGAAAGGCAGACTAGCTTTTGTGTCCTGACCGGTAGCGTGTCACTAATGAAGTCGCCGTTCCGTTGGCTTCATTTCCGATCACCATCACGTCAGCGGATTCATGAGAGCCAAGTTTCTGTCGTCTCATCGTCCTCTCTCCCCGCGATTCTGTGTTCCGTACTGACGTTCCCTCCGCCCTCCCGCTGATAGCTGCACCGCCGCCCCCTCCCCCCGCCCCGATCTGACGGCCTCTCCCTCTATCCTTGTTCCTGTGTGATAACTCCCCCCCCCTCCCGCCGCCCGAGATCTAACGTCTCTCCCCCGCCCGCCGTGCCCCGCAGGTCAGGTACTGTCGGCTCACGTGGCCGGAAAGGTGGTCATGAAGTCATACCTCTCAGGGATGCCCGAATGCAAGTTCGGCATCAACGATAAGATTCTCATGGAAGCCAAAAAGGGTGAGTGGACGATAGAGAAATATTTTTTAAATCATAGCAGACAGCCTAAACATGCCGGATTATCTAGTGCTTCGCTTTGAGGGAAACATGGTTACAAGTCAGCCTAAGCATGCCCGATTGTCTCATGCTTTGTTAGATGCTGGCTTTGAATCATTGTCGACTGTCACCTAACGATTATCATCCTGAACGATCATCGTTGAATGCTGAAATTTCATACTTCTGCATTGTAACCTTTCGAAGCTTCCTCTCCACATGACCCTCAGCGTAGTGTTCTCGCCTCCTGGTTCTCACGTGTGCGCTCCGTGCCGCGCAGGCGCCGGTGACGACGCTACCCGCTCGGGCCGCACCAGTATCGCCATCGACGACTGCCAGTTCCACCAGTGCGTCAAGCTGACCAAGTTCGAGACGGAGCACGCCATCAGCTTCATCCCGCCAGACGGCGAGTACGAACTGATGCGCTACCGCACCACCAAGGATATCTCGCTGCCCTTCAGGGTCATACCGCTCGTCTGTGAGGCCGGCAGGACCAAAATGGAGGTCAAGGTGGGTGACAGGGTGGTATGGTTATGGGTGGGAGGGAGACGGGAGGGGTGGTGATGCCTGCTAAGGCGAGTTGTTGAGTCGTTGATGAATCGTCATGCCACGAAGGACATGTCGTCTCTTTTGTACTGAGTCCAGTGAATCTGCTGTTTCGTATGCCAAATGTTTGATGAGTAGATAAGTTGCGTAGTGTGTATGTACAGTCCACAGCAGAAGTAATGTGGGGTTTCAGTCATGGGTATGTTCTGCTTCTGAAGCTTAGGAACGATTAGCCAGACTAAAATGAAACTTTGAATGTAGCTTATATGTATCGTCACCCTTGCAGCTGCAACTTTAGCTATTGACATCTTCTTTTCGATCACTCCGCATTAAACAATCGCCAGTCAAAGCCAACCGTTGAGATTGGTAAAACCCTACATTACTTTAGCTGTGGGCTGTACACTGTCCCTGTGCCCAGTGCTCACCGTTACTGACAGCGCCCCCTGCCTTCCTCCGCCAGGTGGTGATCAAGTCCAACTTCAAGCCGTCGCTGCTGGCACAGAAGATCGAGGTGCGCATTCCGACTCCGCTCAACACGTCAGGCGTGCAGCTCATCTGCATGAAGGGAAAGGCCAAGTACAAGGCCTCCGAGAACGCCATCGTATGGAAGTGAGTCGCGCGTAATTTGTGTGTGTGTGGGGGAGGGGGGTGCGTGGTGATTGTGGGTGAATGGGTATTGGGACACCGTGAAAAGACGTGTCGATCAAAAGCTAGCCACCATTTTCACCTAATGCTCGAATGCACGGTATAAACACAAGTCACTCCACGCGGCGATAAACACAAGTCACTCCACGCAAAGGTGGAGACTTCATTGACAACGATATCGGTCGTTTCATCCATTTTAGCTTCACGTTTGCTGTACACCTCTGACACTCCTTGGGCGCTCATTCCACCCCTCACTGCCTCTCTCTGTCCCGCAGGATCAAACGGATGGGCGGCATGAAGGAGTCTCAGATCTCAGCCGAGGTTGAGCTCCTGCAGACAGACAACAAACGCAAGTGGACCCGGCCGCCCATCTCCATGAACTTCGAGGTGAGCTGTCATGGGTTTGTAGCTGGGGGCCGTTTGGATGGGAGCAGAATCCCAGGACATTTGGTGGGCCTGTGAATAATGAGTCCAGGGATAGCACGCTTTTTATCATCACTGAATTGCTTTCGAGGAGCGTGTGTGACGTATTCCTTCATACAACTTTCCGGGAGAAATGCTTTGTTGACAGACTAGCAATTGCGTCCGTGAATCCGACTCTTAGGACGTGCGCTGACGTACCACTGTGCGCTCTTTCACTGCTCCTTTTCCCCTACAGGTGCCGTTCGCGCCCTCCGGCTTCAAGGTGCGCTATCTGAAGGTGTTCGAGTCGAAGCTCAACTACTCGGATCATGACGTCATCAAATGGGTGCGCTACATCGGCCGCAGCGGCCTGTACGAAACGCGCTGCTAGCGCAGACAGCTGACGGCGAACACGCGTCACAAGCCTGCCCGGCGAGAGAGCGGGAGGACGGAGAGAGTGAGGAGAGGAGGGAGAGGGAGGAGAGGTGCTGAGGAGAGGAGCGCCCTCTGTGGTGCGCGCGGCGGAAACTGGGAACGGTGAGCGCTTCCAGCGAGCGAACAATTGTTTTTCTTTCTGTTTAGCGGAGACTTTATTATGCCCGGAGGGCACGACAGTTCGAATAAGTATGAAAGAATCGAGTCTTCGACACCATTACATTGTTACGCTCCGGTACGGTTCGAAGGCCCGCCCAGCACGCTGCTGGATTAGCTATTGACAAGGAAGAGATATTATGCGTTGTCAATTTGTATATCTTTTCGGGCCAACTGCACTTGGTTTCCCTACCTACTTAATGCGTATATATGACGGCACACGCGGGGTGTCAGACTTTGGTTTGGTGGACACGAAACAGGCTCGCGGGATAAGCTTGCTTGGGATATCGCGAGAGCATCGGACACAACATTCCTGGCGCGCGCGCGCTCCGGCTCCGCCCGGACCGGCGCGCCGTCTCTTTAGATCTGCCGCTGTGCTGTTAGCCGCGTGCCGCGCCGGCCGAGCGACTGCTGCGCCCCGCGCCGTCGGACGAGCGTGGGGGCGACCCACTGCCGCCGCCATAATAAGACAGTCCGTCGCGCATTCCCGTCGCGGTGTGGTGTGTCGTTAGGTGGCCCGGCCGCCCCCGCGCGGGGCGGACCGCTCGCTAGCATCGTACGTTCGTCGCTGGTTGTTAATCTGTCTGGTGTGTCGGCTCGTCGCCCCGTATCTGTATCTGTATCAGCTGTCCGCCTGTGGTATCTATCCCTGTGTAACTGTGCTCAGTAGCTTCCCCCGCCCCGGCTCTCTAGGCCGACCCGAGAGGTAATCACGTGTTTAGCCGCCGCGGCGCCTCAATCAATACACGGCTTCGTAGTCTGAGAGGCGTGTCTTCATGAACTGTGGTCGTGCACAAGAGTACATGCGACACGCCGTGGACCTTCCGGGCGCGGAACTGCCCGCACAAGACACAGGCAGAACGGCGATGATTGCGCCAGCGGTAGCAGCGACCGGCGAGGAACATCATGTGCACACCCACTGATCACAAGATAATTATGGCCCACCGGCCACTGCACTACGTCATGTGTTGTTTGTCCGAGTAAAGCTCCTCCAGTCAGTCCGGACGGGACAGGCTCGCTCAGGTAAAAACAATCAGCACCTCCCGCCCGTCCATCCTCCTAGCTGAAGCCTCCATAACATTATCACCACAAATAACAAATAAAAATAGTTCCTAGCGCTCTCCATTCATCCACACAATCCCTGTCACAATCACAGTTGACCGCGTCGCGGCGGTGGGCTACCAGAATGAGCCCTTCTTGAGTTTGTTGTATTTGGCCTGGTTGACCATTATGCTGGCGGCCACCTGATCGGCCGTCTTCGTCTGGCCGTAGTAGTCGACAAACTGACCTTCCGGGTCGATCAGGTACATGATGATGGTGTGGTCCACCTGGGGAGGACGGAATGACGAGGTGATCATACGTAATGCCAAAGAAATCGGTGCATGTAATCAGAAGACGAGCATGCAGTGTACAATTAATCGGAAACGCTAAATGATATGTAATCTTGAATGTTGAGTGGTTTTCGGACACAAGTGGTTCGTATTAAGTGTACCGTAGCTGCAAAGATACGAAATGGAATCTGCAGCCGGACTAAAGATTCGCTATTCGCAGGAAGTTATCATTAACTTATAAGTAAGCACATTAACGTCATTTGCGTCTTAACCCGCGCACCGACGGGGGTCTGCGCCAACTTAGTACCGACGGGGGGGGGGGGCGGATGACCGCCCCCCCCCTGAGATCTCGAGAACGAAGCAAGATAGCGACAAGCGGTAAACGGCATCGGATACGCACGGTCAAGATCTACAATTTTTACTAAGGTCATTTTCAGGTCAGGTCAAAGATGACGTCACATGGGTCGAAAAAGTCAAAATGGCGGCGCTAAATATGGAGAGTTTTTCTCGAATAACTTTCGAATTAGTCAAGATAGGAACAAACTAAGGGCATCATCGTGATCCTCTCGTCAATCCGCATCGAATGATATATATGTTGACCTCGAAAGGTCAAGGTCAAAGGTTGACCTCAGGTCACGTGACCTCGAGGTCATCATGTATACCATTCGATGCGTCTTGACGAGCTGAACACAATGAGACCATCCACGCGTCTGTATCTTGTTCCTGTACGGAGATATTGGCCAAAAACCTTTGGTGACCTTTGATGACGTCACATGACCGCACAGCTGCCCAACAGCAAAACAGACCTCAAGGTAGTGAAGGTTGATCGTATATGAAGTCATGTATGGTATATGGGGCCATTCCGATCCGTTTTAGTGGTAAAAACAGGGAGTTGATTTTTCCCCCATTGACTTATAATGGGGAGGTCGCGAAATTGACCTGACCTTAGGTCACCGATATCAAAATTCCGAGATATACAAATTGTAGCTACTAATGACCTAATAACATCCTGCGACTTTCAAAGGCCTCCGACATCTACTGTAGCTCTGGCACGGTGACAAAGTTGCAAAAAAGTGACTTGAGGTTGGGTCATTCAAAGTGACCTGGTGACCTGACCTTTAAAGGTAGGAGGTTCAAACTTGCACACCATGTGTAAAATTGATAAGGGAATAGTCATACCAAATTTCGCTTCCCGCTATTCGCGAAAAACCTCAGGGGGGGGGGGGGCGGATATCCGCCCCCCCCCCGTCGGTGCGCGGGTTAAGACATTTAGTGCACACTTACGATATAATCGTTATCGTCGTCTTTGGGTCCTTCGCTAAAGTACACCCGATACGCCTTGCAGGCCTCCTTCACCTGAAAATAACCAAAGCATATCAATGAAAATCACCTTACAAAGCAAAGAACGACACGAGTCATCGCAAGCCTTCAACTGCAGCGATCACTGACTCACCCAGCAATAGTAGTAGTAATGTAATCTTGGACCCACCCACCAATAAAAAAGAGCACGATCTCCAAATGCAATGTCATATCGAGATCCAAAACCCGACCACGATCACCCTAGAGAGCAGTAGCCCCACGCTGTCGTTTTGCCGGCTGCTGACCTGTTCGACGGTGCCGGTGAGGCCGAGCAGCTGAGGGTGAAACTCTCGCACGTACTCGCGCACCGCCTTCACGTCGTCTCGCAGCGGGTCCACCGTGATGAACACAGGCTGTACGCGCGGCATGTTGGGCGTCTTGGCTGCCGGGCACGTGTGGCGGCGTTAGTGGGTGGGATCGATAGGGGCAACACGTTAATTATGAACAGCTTCGACTACAACATGAGGCCAAAACAGTACCCATTTTAAAAAATATTTTAAGTCATTGATACCCATGAGACAGGACGACTAGTCGTCACTTAAACTTATTTTAACGAAAGCGATGATGCGAACAAACGAATATCAACGCCCGAGTTAAATAATTAACCCGCGCACCGACGGGGGTCTGCGCCAACTTCGCACCGACGGGGGGGGGGCGGATGACCGCCCCCCCCTGAGATCTCGAGAACGAAGCAAGATAGCGACAAGCGGTAAACGGCATCGGATACGCACGGTCAAGATCTACAATTTTTACTAAGATTATTTCAGGTCAGGTCAAAGATGACGTCACAGGGGTCGAAAAAGTCAAAATGGCGGCGCCAGATATGGAGAGAGTTTTTCTCGAATAACTTTCGAATTAGTCACGATAGGAACAAACTAAGGGCATCATCGTGATCCTCTCGTCAATCCGCATCGAATGATATATATGTTGACCTCGAAAGGTCAAGGTCAAAGGTTGACCTCAGGTCACGTGACCTCGAGGTCATCATGTATATCATTCGATGCGTCTTGACGAGCTGAACACAATGAGACCATCCACGCGTCTGTATCTTGTTCCTCTACGGAGTTATTGGCCAAAAACCTTTGGTGACCTTTGATGACGTCACATGACCTCACAGCTGCCCAACAGCAAAACAGACCTCAAGGTAGTGAAGGTTGATCGTATATGAAGTCATGTATGGTATGTGGGGCCATTCCGACCCGTTTTAGTGGTAAAAACAGGGAGTTGATTTTTCCCCCATTGACTTATAATGGGGAGGTCGCGAAATTGACCTGACCTTAGGTCACAGATATCAAAATTCCGAGATATACAAATTGTAGCTACTAATGACCTAATAACATCCTGCGACTTTCAAAGGCCTCCGACATCTACTGTAGCTCTGGCACGGTGACAAAGTTGCAAAAAAGTGACTTGAGGTTGGGTCATTCAGTGACCTGGTGACCTGACCTTGAAAGGTAGGAGGTTCAAACTTGCACACCATATGTAAAATTGATGAGGGAATAGTCGTACCAAATTTCGCGGCAGCGCCGCCCGCGGTTTTCCCGCTATTCGCGAAAAACCTCAGGGGGGGGGGGGCGGATATCCGCCCCCCCCCCCCGTCGGTGCGCGGGTTAATGATAGCTTCGTACCTTCGCAAGACGCTCCGATGCGTCAGAGAAAGTTCAGCCATATCATCGTACCAAGTGCCAGCGTTATCCACAAACGATATCACTGCGTCACCCACCGACTAGCGTCGATGTCATTGTGACGCCTAACGACATGTCACTGTCACCCACCGACGACGTGTGTCACTGTGTCACCTACCGACGGTGTCGACGGCCTCGGCCATCTTCTCCAGCTCGTCGGGGCAGATGTCGGGACAGTGTGTGAAGCCGAAGTAGAGCAGCACCCACTGGCCGAGCAGGTCGTCGCTGGAGCACGGCCGTCCGTTGTGGTCCACCAGCTCAAACCGGCCGCCCAGCGCCGCCTTCCCCAGCGCTCGGCGACGCTCCCGGTCAATCGCTGACGGGTAGTGGCGTCACACGGGGTGAGAAAAGACGAGTGAGCACGGACTTGACAACAGAGCAGGTGGGAGGAAACGAACACAGAACAGGTTAGTGGGCAACACGCAGGACCGGAAGGATATAATAAATGTGATAGGTTAATGGTAAAGCACTCCAGAAATATGAAGGAACAGGCAATGGAAGGTAGCGAACTTAGCAGAGTCGGTTTATCGGTGGCAAAGAGATGAAAACGTACGAAAACAACCTTTATGGCAATGTTAGACTTAAATGCATTTCAGAATTCCGAGCTTCGAGAAAAAAAAACTAACTCAGTATAGTTACGAACTCACAAAGCATAACATCTTTCCCAAAATGTCCCAACTACTGCGCGGAGCGATCTCGCCCACCACGGATATGGGACAGCTGCACCACGGACTTCCGCTCACCGATCTCCTTCTTCCGCTTCAGGTAGTACATGAAGCCCAGCAGGCCGGCACCGAGCAGTGCCGTGCCGGCCAGCGTTTTACGCGACATGGGCTCCCTGAATCGGCGCGGGTCCCGCGCGCCGCCAGGGGTGGTGCCGCCGCCTGAGGCACCGGTGCTGCCGCCCGTGCTGCTCCATCGCTGCTGCAGATAGCGCTGGGGTAGAAGAGGTGAGGTGAATGGCATGTAGGTATGTTTGATAAAAGGGCTGGTGCTACGTCGTGCGAAAAATAAATAAAATGAAATAATTACAGAGAAGAGCACTCAATGTTATTGGTGAATATGGTGACATAGAACAGCTGAGCTTATTGGTAAACAATATACCTATAAATCAGACTCATCATTTATCAGATTGTGACAAAAAAAAACTGTAACATCACAATAACTACTTGCAAACAACACATTTTGAGTTTTGACTCACATTTGCAACAGATGGAGGCTGAAGTTTAGTTGGTGTTGTGCTGCTGATTAGCTTTCCAGCTTGCCTCGCTGAGAGCAATGCACGGGAAATTTGAATGGCACTCATGGTGCCTCAACTTTGATACCTTGCAGAAGACTCACAAACCTGAAAACAAAAGCATTGTGCATTGTGGTAATATTTATGGTATTAGCTTCACATCTATTACTGCATAAATCTTAAAACATTTTTTATTTGACAGTACAAACATCAACAATCTGCAACAAATTGTCAGGCAGATAGCATTACAAATGCTGGTTACATTATAGCAAAGTATTTTTTTAGTAAATTATACCAACTGGCCAACATACAATTAGTTACATAACCCAAGCCTCACGCAAGCTTAGCACAAAACAACTTTCCTCTTGAATGTATGTGTATTGTGCGTAATGGATATACTAGTTTAAAAGGCATGACAGTCACAGTAAAGATGAAGAAGTGTTACACAGTACACGCACACACCACACTGAGGTTAACAAATTCACACACATTGAGGTTAAACAATCATTCGACGTTCTCAGCAGCCGAAGAATAGCTTACAGCAAAAAGTACCTATCCAATTATCTAATTATTAATCTATCCCCGCGTTCGATGTCTCTCGGACGGCGAAGATTCTACGTCGTCCGGCCAATCACGTTTCATAACCGCAGCCGAGCCCCCGCTGACCTTGGACGTGATTGGCCGGACGGCAAAGAATCTTTGCCGTCCGGGAGACATCGAACGCCGCCTATATCAATCTATTGAATCCTCATTCCTCACTGTCACAGTGCTGACACAACTGACGACAGATTTGGCGCACATACCCCCATATAGTGTTCTTAAGCAGTATAAGCAGGACGTTAACGAATCAAAAGCTTGCATTTCCCCAGGTGACTTTCCTGCTCATGATGCATTTTTGCTTTTCTATGGTCATTTAATCAATCATAAGTCACTTTCATCAGCTCAGATTATGATATTTAAAATCATTTTTCAACTTAATTCACAAAAAATGGACAAACTCAACCACCTTTGCGAGTGAATCACGTGGGTGTTCCAAGAAACTTCTACAAACAGTTACACAACAACAACCACATCAATAGTGATAGAACACGATGGAGTTCTTGCTGCATAATGCGAAGTTGTTGATATCTGTATATATGGCCTTGTATCGCCATTGCATACCCACGAGTGCTCGAGTCGCCACGTGGTTAGCTCGTGTCGAAGAGTTATTCGATATTTTGGCGATAGGTGTTGCGATATAGCTATTTTCTCGGCTCATTTCTCTAATCTCACAAATCACAAATTTCTTGGAACCTCTGTTTGGTACTTAGTTTTCTGTTTCGAAGTTTTTCCGTGCGCGTTGGTTGAAGTTGGCGTCTGCACTTCGCCATCTTGTCTACTTCATCAGGTCGTATTGTCCATTCTTTTCGCTTTCTTCTTTACTATTCTAGAGACTTTTCATAATCAAGGTTCTTTGTTCTCTATCTGACCATGCCGCCTGCCTTCTCCAAGGCGGTCACTGCCACGCTGGAAGGAAAGTTTGTCCCAGGCGGCCCAGCCTACGTTCTTGCTAGATTCAAAAACAAAGACAAAAGCTTTCGAAACTTTAGCCCATACAAAATCCGGGATGAACTTCTGAAGGTTCTGTATTACCCAGCAGCCAAAGTCTCTGCCCTGCGAAGTGGAACTCTTCTAGTTCAAACACAGGATGCGAAACAGACTGATGCGCTTCTGGCATGGACCTCGTTCGGAGAGGATGAAATATCTGTGATTCTTGCTGATCGACTTAATCAGGTTGAGGGCATTGTGTATGCCCCAGAGCTCATGACAGAATCGCCTCAAACTATCCTCCATGAAAGCCGCGACCAGGGAGTAGTGAGCATCACTCGACTTCCTTCCAAAAACAACAAACCCAACCCGCTTCTCAAAGTCAGGTTCTCTGCAACGCAACTTCCAGCTCACTTCTATGCTGTATATGTGCGGTACGAGGTGAGGCCCTCATACCAACTCCCTCGACGATGCATCAGGTGTCAGAGATATGGACATGGCAGGGGCACGTGCAGGGCTCGCACGGAAAGATGCGCAAGGTGTGCTGGAGACCATCCAACCCTTGGCTGTGATGCCCCACCATGCTGTGCGGCATGTGGAGGCCCCCACCCAGTCACCAGCAGGGAGTGCCCTGTCTGGAAGGAAAAGGCCAACGAGCTTAGAGGAGTAGCCCCACAGCTGTCCAACCAAACCCGGACCCAAGCAAGGGTGATACCTCAGGCCAGTCCCTTCAACCAGGAGCGCGATTGGCCAGAGCTGGCTACCCCAACAGCTGGCCCTTCTGGTGACAGGTCCCGGCGAGCTGCTCCCAAGCCCCGACCTGCGTCCTACAGCTCTCTCTCACAGGCTCCTGCAACCAAACCGACAAAGGGGCCCCAGCTCGTGCATGAAAGCACCGAGGGTCGCCCCCCGGCCCAAACATCAGAACTGAACGGAGAGATCGAGCAGGACAGAACCCCCTTGCTCACTGACCCCTCCCCAGTAACTCCGATACTGCGGTCCAGGGCCCTCGACTCTGATGACTCAACAGGTCGTGAGCAAACAGAGAATCTCACCGATGAGGAGGAGACGCCAAACAGTCGCTCTCTTTTCTCCCTGCAGCGATCGCCAGCCATGTATAGCGATAGTGACTCTGACTCGTCTCTGACGCAATTCACCCAGAAGACACCGAGCACTCGCCTCCGATCACGCACAGTCAAAAAGAAGAACATGGGCGTACGATCGCAGCCTGTGACCAAACGGTCTTTCATTCCTGAATAGGTCATCACAGCCCCTTGCTGTAAGCAGTGTTCATGCATTTTCTTCAATGGAATGTAGGAGGTCTTCTCTCACATCTATCAGAATTTAAGCAGCATCTACAAAAAGAAATTCCTCTTCTAGCAGCAATTCAAGAAACGCATTTTCGGAACTCTGATCACTACAATTATGATGTCCCTGGATACACATTGTATAGACATGACATAAATATGCCAAATCGACAGGGAGGGGTTGCACTATATGTAGCGAACTCTCTTCCTCAGCGTCAAACAATCTTGGCTTCCACACTTAATGTGGTAGCGGTAACAATTTCCTTGTTTAATCGAGAGGTTTTGCATAGAAGCAGAGTGACAATACTGGTGCCGTCAGGTAGCTTCATGGGCAGCAACAGGATGAAGGAGAAAAATGACCTGTTATTTTTCTCTGGCAAACCTATTGTCATGGTTGGCTTCTAGCAGTTGTCACTGTCACACACACTTGACTATACACTTTTTCAAGTATGTATTAACGAACGATCGCTGTCACACACACTTGACAGTGCTCTGGCCTCTGTGTGTGTCCCACACAGGTCCGGTACATGCCAAACACTGATGTCCCACACTGTTGGACATACACTGTTGGACATTGGTATTTGACATGTATTGGAATGAAGCATAACACAATATCATGTATAGGTACTTGGGTAAGGTTTTGAGTATAGCAAAGGATTCTGTTTGTGTATGCCTATTGCACAGCAAATCTGAAATGAAGCTGTTTGAGGCAATGACTGTCTCATTAGTCATAACTATTGATAAATCTTTTTTTCAGCTCTGATACAGAGGCAATTGATAATTGATTGAAGCTGCAGCTCTTCTGTGATTTATGAACTTTGATTCAGTTGTATACATGATTGGACACCAAGATAAGTCCAAGAACTACACAGTAAAGATTCTGGAATCTGCCCAACTGCAATGATGGTCATTGGGGCAGGCCGTTACCACTCTTCAGTGGCTGGTCTCCTTGACAACATTAGCTTTGTTATCACCTACCCTTGGCTGACTGTGGTCAGCCTGTTTATATCCTGCTACCAGTCAACTACCTGGGAGCAGCAGCATCCTCAGTCCAAGCTGACACACTACTTCATCTATGGGCCAGCTCTGGGCATCATCGCACTGGCATTTGCCCCTCTGGGCCTGTCAGGCTACTTGCTGCACATCCTTGTCTGCCACTTATTTGCATCCAACAAGTTCATCCACATGACAGTGAAGCACTCGCCAAGCACTGCCCAGAACGGCTGCTCGGGGAAGGACCCGGCCACCGTCTCCGCCACGCCGACCAACAGGTTCACCTTCTGCACGGCCAACCTGCTGCTGGCGCCCGAGTGCGTGGTGCGCTTCAACAACAACCGGTTCGTGTACACGCGTGGCCCGGAGGTGGCGCGCCGCCTGCTGTGGCAGAAGCCGCTGCCGGACAACGCGCTCGGCGCCGCCGCGGAACAGCACGTGTCCGTGCTCTTCCCGGAGGTGGACTTTTTCTGCCTGCAGGAGGTGTGGGAGCGCGTGTGGGCGCTCGTGCTGGCCAAGGAGCTGCAGCAGCGCTACCCACACTACCTGTACGACATCGGCGAGCACAAGCTGAACGTCAACGGCTGCATGGGCGGTGAGTGCGGTGTCGCCTGTCAGTCATCGGGAGGAGTACGGGATGGCAATTAGTTACGACTTATGATTTTTTTTTGTGTGGTAGCTACGAACTCCATTGCTCTTTTCAAGTTCAATCACAAGGCTGACGCAAACAATGGCGATTAGGCAGAACATTTTTTTAGGACAGGAGCTTGCCGCCCATGTAGAGATCATCTTCGTCAGTCGTTCTACCATCTATCTTGTATTAAATTCATCTCGATCTGTATCAGAGATCGTGGTTACTGAACGTGCGGCCGCCACCGATTCTTGCCACCGACGCGATGTCGGGCTACCTATGTCAGTGCAACATTGTTTATGAAGACAGTAGACACTGTGACTGATCTCTGTGACGCTGCCTGTTTCAGCCAGCGGCCTCTTCTTCGCCAGCAAGTACCCTATCCTCGGCGCCACCTTTGAGACGTTCAAGTGCCGAAAGGGATGGGCGAGGTGCATCTCTTACGGAGTTTTATGCGTCAAGGTTGGTATACACCTTCATACGTGTTATCCGGTCCATAAGGCTGGAAGTTTAAACAGACTCTTTCGGCGGTCGGGAAATCGCATGCGAGAGCCTATTCAAAAATATTGGTTACCGCTCACATCAATCGCTCGCGCCTCCTTGCATATGACTGAATCGATGCATTGCGATGTAGTTACTATTTTTTTTGAATACCAATGCTTCATTTATATTGTTTTCTTTTTGTCCTTTTCATCTAGTACGATTCTGTTGACCATCGTATTGCTCCGTTGCTCCGTTGCTCCGTTGCGCGGGCCGTCGCGTCGATGGCCTGACATGTTGCCGGCTGTGACCGCCAGGTGGACGTCGGCTCACCGGGCGAGCGGAGGGTCGGCTATGTGGCCAACCTGCACACTCAGGCGTACCAGGACCGAGACCCCATCATCTACGAGGTGGGTGTCGAGGTCACCTATATGCTGAAGCATTGGCACGGTCTGCAATGAAGAATGTTGAATGCGAGACAAATGCTTGAAGAACTATGACAAAGGGGTAGTTGTTTTTCACGTTATGTATCAACTAGTTATTCAGGTTGCAGTCAAGGACCCGAACGATCAACGATGTCGTTTCAGCATGACTGGTCGCTGATTTTACGGATGGGTGGCAACTGACCGCAAGGACTGTCGAACGAGCACATTTAAACGCGAGCAGTGAAGACCATTATATTGTCGACTCTCCCACAGGAGGTGCGGCAGGCGCAGCGGGTGCTGGAGCAGTTCTGCACCGACTCGGCCGAGCCGGGTGACAGGGTCGTGTTCCGCGTCATGTGCGGCGACTTCAACTACGACAACATATCACCCGGTAAGACGGAGCAGAGTGCCTCGTCGCAAAAGCGATCTGTTAGACGTAAGAATACAAGGTTTGTCCAGATGCATGTCGTTCTCGACAGGTAGGCTTTTTACGGTTATTTCACGAAGTTAGCTGTAATTATTTTATACGATTCGTTGGGTCTGCATTCAAATAAATCGTACATTCATGCCGCGTACGATGATAATTTTCTATCACGATTCCAGACTGATTTATCAGACGGCTCCAGACGCCAGACAGTAATCTGTTTCGCTCACTTCAGCTGTATTCCACAGGTAGGCGCATTGTTCCCTCGCTAATCACTCACCGGCGTATGTCCGCAGGTGACGCGATGAATCAGAACCACCCTCTGTTCGGCGAGTTCGAGGACTTCTGCCGTGTCGGGCCGGGAGAAGACAAGCCCTGGACTGTCGGTAAGTGGCCTACGTGGTCCTTTACCTGTAGTTGAAACATAAAATGTCCTCGTGAAGTGTCATATTATTTGCCTCGGGCGAGTTTCTACATTGTTGTAGAACGCAGAAGGATCATTAATCAACATCTCTTTTATGGGAGATGTGTTATAAGTGTTGTACTCGTTTTGTTATTGATTTATGCACATGACTTGCAGAATAATGCATCGTCGCCCATTAAGCCCTGCTACCCTTCAGTTACACCAGCTGTTTTTTTTTTCTGTAACTTCCTCACTCTTCCTCCACTCTGCAGGTACCGAGATGCGTCAGGTGATGATATTTGACGAGCGGCTCAACAGTCCCGGCTCGTTCCGTCGAATACTCACGGACGACGTGGAGAGGCGCCGCTTCCTGCTGGATGCAGACGTCGAGGTGAGGCGGGGCCGGCGGTCAGGGACGGCGGCTGAAAGTCAGGGGGAGGGTCTTACGAGAAAGTCCGTGGGGGTTTACGAGTGGAGATGAGTTTTCGGGTACAGGCATGAATTAGTTAACATCCAATGACGAAGCATTCCACAGGCAGTGGGAGGTTTGTTGGCGGGTGTTTCGCTAAATTCGCTTGGCTATCTGCTGGGCTGGTTTCGATTTCAAACTATTACGGTGGACGCTCTGATTGCAATATTGACCCACATGCTGCTTCCACATTTAGGCTTATGCATCTAGGTCTGCATGCATTATTGCATAATGTTTCATGCTGTATGCTGTGTAGTATTGTATGCCGTATAATAGGGTATAAATATTAATATATAACCATGCATTTGTTCACATTAGTTGCATCCTGCGTACCGTCTGTCGCCACCTCCCTCTCTCACACCACCCCATTGTGTCCTATCGGCAGAGTCAGACTCTGGAGCTGGCGCGCGCACCTCCACCGCTCGACTCAGAGGGTCGGCTGCGGGCCTCGCCCGGCGGCGGCCGGCGGCGCATCGACCACATCCTACACGCGCGCCAGCCCGAGGTGCGTGTGTGCAACTACACGTTTGTGGCCGCGCTGTCCGGTCTCAGCGACCACATTCCCGTCTGTATGACGGTGGAGACGGCGTGACGGGACGAGAACGATAGGAGACCGAACGACAGGTATAGGGCGTGCTGCTACAGCGTGGGGACAGGCGACTCATGACGATACGATAGGGGTGATACGAGAACATCGCAGTACTTGCGGGAGAGATGACGAATCAGGGATCAGGATAGAAAGGAAACCCCCCCCCCACGAAAGTAAACTTAGAATGGGTTGATGCTGATCTGTTAGATTACGGATATTGCTGGGTATCTGTGGGCATCTTACCGGTAAGATGCTAAAGAGATGAACGGGAAAGGAATGTTCTCGACGCTGCGATATTATTAGAAGAACATGCGAGATTATTAGAAGAACAACGTCATTCGAAACAATTCCTGTGAAATTTGTGTGCCGATGCAAATTCTGGATGCATTTTACAGCATGCCTCAAGCTGGAACAACGGCAGGCATTTATAGTGGATTGGTGGTGTAGGGGGTGGGGGTGGGGAGGGGGGTATGGTATCCTCAGGAAGGGACATGGGGTCGGTAGTGGACGGAGGCGGCTCCGATGCCTTATCATTTACCCATGTGTGCGTATGGAGATAAGACTAGACACGGTCACAGTCGCTCACGAGTCACAATTTGTCCCGGGCCGTCGTTTGCCCATTGTCGTCGGTCATTTAACACATTTGCATGCTCAATTTTAGCATTCCCATGACAATCTGAGCATTTACTGTGCATTTTAATTAATTGGAAAATTGTGATAATTTGTGATATTTATTGTTTCTGCCATTTGACTGAAAAACTCTCGAGTCGCCTCGACCTCGGATATCCGCATTTTCAGTGGGTGCGGCTGTTCAGTACAATGATTAGTGTTTCACATGAACTTTGAGTCGCTGTTGGTGAGTACTTTTTGGATGTTAAGTCTGATACGATGAACTGGTCTGCCATTGATACTGTCACTGTCATTGTATTCTTGAAGACCTCTGTAAGGCCTCTTGAAGCACCTGTCTATGTGATTGCATTCCGGTGAGCGTTTTTGGCGGGATCAGTTAACCAAAACTGGAGCTTATATGCATGGTTTATTTTATGTTCGTATTGTGATATTGAGCTCACATTTGTTTTTCGTTCTTCGTTCATTCCAGCTGACTGGTCCAGTGTTGGAATTCTCATTTTCAGTCCTGGTCCCGGAGAATGAAATCTGGCCGGAGAACAGCAGCCCCGAAATTGGATATGCGGCCGTGACACTGGCGGATTCGGGGGGGGGGGGGGGGTGCATTCGAAACATTTTCCCCTCCCGCAGTATCCGAAATTAACGAAATTTCCCTGTTTTCCTCTCAAGAAATAATTCATGTGAATTGTGAAAGCAAACGGCAGACCCCTCTCGGCACGGGCCGGCAGAGGTCATAAAAAACTTGATAACCTACTGTCAGTATGATTTCGACAGGAAATGTGTTGTTTATAGAGCACATCTTCCCTTGTTGAGCTCTGAAGCTCGACGTTTCTTTAACTTTGAACTTGAGTTGCTTATTAACCAGCTGACTGGCCTTCCGACAGGGACCTACAAATGGGCGTCTCCTAGTCCTGCCTCGCCTGATCTTCCCGGCTGTTCCTGATCCAGAGCCCACAAGGCTCACCCAGCTGACGTGGACCACCAGAAGACGCCTGTGATCCTGTTTGTGCATTCCCATGTCAATCCATATTTATTGGAACGCGTTAAAATGAAACATCTTTTTCTGACACATTGTGTGTAGAAGCTCGTTACAGTGCAGCGATGCAAATTAACTTAAATCGTTTTTGTTTTTATTGGAAGGACTGATGGCCATGCAAAGATAAGTGTTTTGATTTGTTAAGGGCAATCTCTTTCGGCTTGAAAATGTCATTGCGGAGCTGTGGGATGACGACATGATAGCTGGTGGAGCGGAGCCATTGGACCGTACGTACCATCGATGGTGCGCCACAGCGGCAGAGACCGTCAAGAGGACGAAAGTGGCTACGGTGAGCCGTATCAGGAAAGACCTTTCAGGTGGGACGGGAGTTCCCGTTTGGACAGCCCACTCTATCGCTCATAGGGCCATCCCGAAGAGGATTTAGATCGGTCGAGATCTTGTCCTCGCCACCGCGACGGTTATCTGGTGGGGGTTGAGTACCAGCCCGGAATAGATTGTGAGCGAGGGTGCGAATGAGTTGGTCTGAGGATGGGAACGATAATTTCAAAAATAATTTGAAGCTGTTCTCATAAAAATGCGAGAACCTCACCGTTGCCAACGAGACTGTTAACTTACTAGCCCTAGCGAGTGAATATGCATGTACCTACTTAGTATCTTATATCTAGGCATATTTAGGCGTGCACGGTGCAACACAAGCGATATGGCGTCAATATATCATCTACTATGGGTGATGAATGATGATATATATGACCAATATATACGACTACTGTGGGTAACTATGCCTCTGACTGACAACAAGATAAGCGAAGAGTCGGGGAGAGACTGTGATCTGAGGAAAGAGAGGGTGACACGACGCTCTTATGACACGAGAAAGGATTGAAAATTGTGCTGTGTGTTCGGTGCAGTCGAGAGCAGGGGCGGATCCAAGGGGGGGGTCACATGGGTCATGGCCCCCCCCCCCTTGAGGCCCGGGGGCCCAAAGACCTGCCAGGGGCACCACCGGCCTATCAGGGGTATCACAGTCCTGACAGGGGCACCACAGGACCGCCAGGGGCACCACAGGCCTAGCAGGGACACCACGGGCCTGGTGCCCCTGGGCCCTGACAGGACTGTAACGCCCCTGACAAGCCTGAAGTGTCCCCGGCAGGCACATGGTGCCCCTGACAGGCCTGTGGTGTCCATGGCAGGCCTGTGGTGCCCTTGCTAGGCCTCTGGTGCCCCTGACAGGCTTGTAATGCCCCTGGAAGGACTGTGGTGCCCCTGGGCCCTGACAAGCCTGAGGTGCCCCTGACAGGCCAGTGGTGCCCTTGCTAGGCCTGTGGTGCCCCTGGCAGGCCTCTGGTGCCCCTGACAGGCTTGCGGTGCCCTTGGAAGGACTGTGGTGTCCCTGGGCCCTGACAAGCCTGAGGTGTCCCTGGGCCCTGACAAGCCTGAGGTGCCCCTGACAGGCCCGTGGTGCCCTTGTTAGGCCTGTGGTGCCCCTGGCAGGCCTCTGGTGCCCTTGCTAGGCCGCTGGTGCCCCTGGCAGGCCTCTGGTGCCCTTGCTAGGCCACTGGTACCCCTGCGCCCGGAGAGGACTGGTGCCCCTGAAAAGTCTGAAGTGCCCCTCGGCAGGCCCGTGGTGCCCCTGACAGGCCCAAGGTGCCCCTGCGAGGCCGGTGGTGCCCCTGGCAGACCTCTGGTGCCCCTGGCAGGTCTGTGGTGCCCCTGGCAGGTCTGTGGCGCCCCTGGCAGACCTGTGTTGACTGGTGCCCCTGCTAGGTCGCTGGTGCCCCTCACAGACCTGTGGTGCCCCTGGGCCTTGACAAGCCTGAGATGCCTGGCTATGACAGGCTCGTGGTGCCCCTGATAGACCAGTGGTGCCCTTGCTAGGCCTGTAGTGCCCCTGGCAGGCCTCTGGTGCCCCTGCTACCCCTGCGCCCGGAGAGGACTATGGTGCCCCTGAAAAGCCTGAAGTGCCTCTCGACAGGCCCGTGGTGCCCCTGGGCCCTGACAGGCCCAAGTTACCCCTGCGAGGTCGGTGCTGCTCCTGGCAGGCCTCTGGTGCCCCTGGCAGGTCTGTGGTGCCCCTGGCAGGCCTGTGTTGACTGGTGCCCCTGCTAGGCCGCTGGTGCCCCTCACAGGCCTGCGGTGCCCCTGGAAGGACTGTGGTGCCCCTGCCCCTAGGGGTGCTCATGGGCCCAACAGGCCCGTTGTGCCCCTGACAGGCCTGTCGTGTATACTTCCTAGACCTGTGGTGCCCCTGCTTCCTGGCAGGCCTGTGGTGCCCCTGGCGGGCCTGTGGCGCCCCTACAAGGCCGTAGGTGCCCCTGACAGGTTTGTGGTGTCCCTGGAAGGACTTTGGTGCCCCTGACAAGCCTGAAGTGTCAAGGACAGACCCTTTAGACTCCAGGGTCAAGTTCGTCGGACTGACAACGATTTGCTTACTTGATAAGGTTCCTGGTAAGTACTCACTACTCAGCGTCCACAACATATATACACATAGCACATTCATATATACTTGCTTACAATTGGTAAATGAGGTTGTGGCTTAGAGTTAAGATACTGACTAAAAATAAAAATAAAAATAAAAACTGAAAATGGGGGCACCACCAAAATGAAGTGGACGAAATCCGTTGAGTTTTTAATTTTGGGTATAGGTAGGGGCACCACTTCGATTCATGACCATCCCCTTGGAGTTTTCCTGGATCCGCCCCTGGTCGAGAGTCGGAAATTAAGGGAAATATACCACTTTTCTCAAATTAGTTGTTACTACAGTTTCGCGATTTTTTAGGCTTATAATGATCAAAAAAGAAAATATTTCATATGTACAAAGTTTTTTTTTTAATATTTTCATATAGGATGAACTATATTCCATCTTTGGTAGAGGCTATAAAATAGTGTTCCACGCGGAAGCTTATTACGCGTTGACCAATCATATTGCGTAGTTTAAAACCAACTGTACGCTGATTGGCTGAGCTTGGCCTCTGCGACAAGTGGCTACAATTTCCGCATTCTTACGTAAGACACCACATTCCTGCGTAAGACACTATTTTCGGAAAGATAAATGGAATATCTTTGTCTGGGGTGATCGCTCGGCTGTAAAAGCTCCTGATTTGTGCTAGTCTCAACTCAAGCTGCAAAACTGCTATTCCAGTTCAAAACCCCAAGTTAAAAGTGGTACATTTCCTCCGGCGTTTCGTTGTGTCGATGGCTGATCCCAGTCAGCATTATTACCAAGGCCCCACATGGAGCCAAGGTGGGCCACTTGGTGGGGCCCACATTAATTTGTCCCTGGGCAAATGGTGGGGCCCACCAGGGCTGGCCCACATGGACTCAAGGTGGGTACTGGGTACCATGTGGGGCACACGTGGGCCCCATATGGCTGCCCACATCCAGCCCACCTACACCCCATTACATGGGCTGCCCAACCAGTGCCTATGTTTAGTCCACCATACAGGAACACCGCGTTTATGGCTGCAAAAAATATATGTTCACCAAAATTCCTGGATACGCCCTCCTACATGGTGCAGACAATCTTATTTCCAAGCACCATGCATATAAAAAAATAGGTCAGGATCGTGCAATTTTCAGAGTAGGTGTAAAATTGATCAAATCGAGTGTACAGAAAGTTTCGTCGCGATCGAACAAGTTTTGCGCGAGTTATTCGCGAAAAAAAAACGAAAGGGGGTCCATCCGACCACTCCACCCTCTACAAGTGCGAGGGTTAAGGGCGTTCAAAAATGAAAGATGATGCTCATAGGCAGGGCTGCGGAGTCGGAGTCGGAGTCGGTCGGAGTCGACAGTTGTGACCGGAGTCGGAGTCGGAGTCGGAGTCGATTTTAGAAACCCAAGCCGGAGTCGGAGTCGGAGTCACCGAAAATCTGTCGACTCCGCAGCCCTGCTAGGTCTGCGGAGTCGGAGTCGGGAATTGGAGTCGGTCGGAGTCGACAATTCTGCCCGGAGTCGGAGTCGGAGCTGGTTTTTGAAAGCCGGAGTCGGAGTCGCCGAAAATCCATCGACTCCACAGCCCTGCTCATAGGTACTCAAATGGTGATATCTCCATTCACAAATAATAAGACTATTGATGCATCAATTTGTAAATCCAGAGGCCCAGTTTCCCACTGTGATCTAATCCCACAGATAGTAAACGGAACATTTGGTCCATTTTCACATTTTTAACCCGCGCCCGGCTGGGGGTCCTGGATTTCCACGCCCTGCTGGGGGGGTGTTTGAACACCCCCCCCCCCCCCCCTTGTAACTCGGCTCCTGGGCCACGTAGCGATACGCGGAAGGCGGCGTTCGAAAGAGCGTCAAAAATAATGACGAAATCACTTCGGTCAATTTTTTGGTCAGGTCAGAGGTCAGGTCACCAGAGGTCATTGAAGGCAAAATTTCGCCGATTTCCAGGTCAAATGTCGAAAAGTTCCAAGAAGCCAACGCATAACTCGGGAACCAATAGAGCTACAGCGCCGCGGAAAAGCGCATTCGATAGCCCTATTA